AAAAGAATTTCTAGAAGAATCCCATGCATGCTGGAGGGCTAAGTAGGAACCTACACTGCTGGTTGCACAGCTCCTGTTAGTGATGGTGTTTGAAAAGCACTTCATAAGCTGCACTGGAAAGTAGTCCTCAGAGGACAGATTGAGCCCTTTGTCTATGTGTCTTTTAATACATTGCTCTATAATATCGAAGTCCTCTTTGTTTCGTGAGAAGGAAGAGGAACTGTTTGTTCTGAGGGGTGTGTTTACTTACACTAGCACCTTTTCTTAAACTTCTGACTTGAAACATTTTTCACTAGTATGCAGAGGGCTGGATAACAGAAGGCTCTGGAGAGCAGTGAGAAGTGTAGCCTGTGATACCATTCTAAGTCTGGATAAGTCGTGATAGATAAGGAGGTGTAGAAGTGTTTCATGCTCCTGTACCACCCTTAATTGCTAAGATTAGCTCCTCTCATGTAGCCTGCTGGTAGAGCTACTGTATACCTTCATGTGGAGAGGTTATCGTTGGGAAGATCCTGTTGAGTAGAAACTGCTGGAACTAAAATTCAAATGCTGTGGTATAACCTGAACCAGACTGTGTCCAAGTACCTCTAAACTGTTCATTCCATTCTAGGAGGAATATGAGGATTCCAGTGGGAATGTGGTGAATAAAAAGACCTATGAAGACTTGAAGCGTCAAGGGCTGCTGTAACTTTTCCCAAGCAAAGGATTTCACATCTGAAAATCGAGTGGAGAAGTGTCAGCAGCTCTGACTTCTTCATTTTCTGTATTTTCTATTTTGCATGAGTAGAGATTTCAAGGATACTTTATAGAATCACTTTCTAGTAAGCCCCTTGTGAAAAGCATACTTGTGATAGCTTAAAACTTATGTTATTTTATATTTGAAAAAAAGGTGAAAAATAAACTGATTTTAATTTAGGAAGTACCGAGGAATTTGTCTCCTTTTGTATGTTGAAAATAAGAGATTAACCTGGTTATGGCATTTTTTAAAAGCTTTTTGCACCGTTTGAATTGTCAGAAACAATTGCTTCTCTCTTATTTCAGTTTTGATATACATTTTTATGGTGAGGATTGACCTTATTTTAAAGCACATATGAAAATTCTGTGCTTATAATGAATAATGGTCCTAGTTGTCCCACAGGACTGGAGTTAAGCTGCTCTATCATGGGAACCTTTGTTTTTTCCTTTACATGAGGAAACTGCAGTAAAGTAAAAGACATTAGTGGGATGTCAGGAAGTGATTTCCAGGGCTCTGTGTGTGTCTAGCTCTTATCAGTTTTATAGGAGGCTTTTATCTATGCAGTCAAAACCGATGGCATCTACCAAAAATGGATAAATGTTTTCAGAGTTTCATCTGAGCTCTGGTACTGGCTCTAGTTAAATATAATCTGCTATGAAAAAGTCTCTGTTAGCTGGTAATGGGAAGATTTCCACCAGAGATTACTCAAATCTTAGGAGACGGAGGCAAAAGAGGCATTTCCAGGAGGTTTTTTTTCCTTTTTGAAATTGAAAATATCTAGTTTTTCCCTTATGTGAGCAGTTAGAAAGTTGGAATTTCCTGTTGTTAGCTTGTATATAGGCTTTTGGTGTTTTTTCTTGCTTTAGTTACTTGGTTTGTGACCCTAGATGCATTGAGGATCAAATATTGATGTTGGACTGCAGTTTGAAAGTTGCTTATGACAAGAAATCCAGCTATATCTTCCCTCTGCAGTGAGTGTGGGGAACTTCACAATTTAGATATTTATGGGCAGCAGATGTGAAAGGCTGTTAATACAGGGAGGCATTCCAGTTTCAGCCTCACCTTTGTGAAGATGCTTTTCACTAGGGTTTGGAACAGGTTGGAGGAGGGAAAAAAAAAAACCCAACTTTCTCTGTGTCGCTCTGCAGGGCCATTTGCATCTCTGAATCCAGTGGAGCAGCAGGTAACAAACACCTCTCCCTGGGTGATGGTTTGCATAGCTGGTGGTTGGCAGGGGTGGAGCTCGTTGCTGGCACCAGAGTGGCAGACGATGCTGCAGGTACCTGCAGCAGCTGTCGGTGTTCAGTAGGCGCTCCACTCGTAGCAGCAGCTGCAGGCCGTCGCTGGTGTACCAGGGCTTCGCAGAGCAGACAGGGTGAGTCAACGCCATGGCCTGTTTCCTTTCCCAGCTTTTGGAGAAAGCTGCTTTGCTTAGGAGGAGGCTGTGTCTGGTGGTGGTTGTTCCTAGCCTGTCCTGGAGCTTGGTCTGGCTGTGTTGGAGCAGCACCTCACTGTGTAAGAGCTGCTCAGTCTGTAGTGGCCATGGGGAAACAGCAGAGGTAACATGGCTTTAGCTCCCATCTTGCTCACGCAAGGTACAGGAGCGGCCAGGAGAGCTCGGGCTGATTGCTCTGCTGAGGCTGTGCCACCTGGCTCAGCACAGTCCAAGGGGAAGAGGTCGAGCTCTCCCCAGGCTTTTGGGCTTTCCAGTGGGGTTCTCCAGTCTGCAGGGAATCTCCATCTCAGGAATGTGCAAACCTGTCCCAGGTGGGACGGCTGCCCTCGTCGGGAAGGTGGGAGAGACACCAGTCCGTACAGCTTTCTCGTTCATGCTGGATGAACCCCCTCAGTGGCCACTACACGTGTTTCAGCCACTCCAAGTCCTCAGGGAATGTTAGCCGGGCCTAAGTCCTAAGAAAGGAGGGAGTGTTTTCATTCTGCTTTGCCTTGGGACCTGTTTGGAGTCACATCTTCACTGTTTCCCTAGCTACACAGGTAGGTGTTTGTTCTGAATGAAAGCAGAGATTTACCCGTGATAGAGGGCTGAGTGTTACGAGAAGTGCCAAATAGAATAGAACTTCCCAAACCATGAGGGCGAGTGCCAGGGCTGTGTGCTGAGACGCTTCGGGCCTGGGACTGGACAGCAGTGTGGAGACACATGCGAGAATGTAACTAGGGGCTTTAGAGTAGAAAACCTCTGTCCGTTGAACCTGCTCCGACCTGAGGCCTTCTCACAAATCCAGTTAGCAAAAGCCCGCTGCGAAAGAGCGGTGGCTCCTGGGCCCACCCCTGGGAGCAAGCTGCTGTGGTAGCTTTGCCAGGCAGCTGTTAATGAGGGTCAGCAGATGCCATGGCAGACCTGCCTTCTGCCCCAGCTTGCTGACCTGTATTACTTTCCCAGCTGTGCTGCATGGTTTCTGTGCTCACTCCACGTACGGAGCTGTTTGTGGCCGGAGGCATGCAGTGTGGAGGCTGGGCGGGTGGGAATCGATCGTCCGTGTGAAAGCCATGTATGAGCCATTGTCGCCGGCTGACGTGCTGTGGTCGGGGCGGGCAGGGAGAGGAGCATGGGGAGGGAAAGGTGAGAAGTATGTGGCTATTTATTGTGAGTTAATCAAAATATTTGAACATTGGCAGTGACATGGCTCTTTATGATCCGGAACGTTTCCACCTCTCGCTAGGGAAAGCTACTTTAGCTGTAAATGTTCCTGTTTATGTTCCACGTGAGTTGTGTGCCAGAACTAATAGGCCTGTGTGTTGCTCTTTGCCAAGTCCTGAGGGTCTGTTCCAGAGGCGTGTTTGGAAATGGGCATTTTTCATGCCAGACTTTATTCATCCACAGTAAGAACTGCTGTGCAGGGTCTCTGCAGCTGCCCTAAGCTCTGAGGTGCCACTCCGGGTGGTGGGGAAGGGTCCTCCTGTGACAAGTGCTGCAGCCAGCAGGTCACCTCTTAATTTGTAATGGCAGCAGCAAGCTGCCGTGTGGTGCTGAACAGCACCAGTAACGAGCGTGCTTTCGTGCTCTCGGCCCCTGTTTGCAGCTCTGTGTATTAGCTGTGAGGACCCAGCAGAGGGTTACCACACCAACCAGAGCGTGTGGCTTCCCAGGGGAGCTCTCATTTGCGAGGAGCCGTGCCGTGCCCCTGGGCCTGCCAGCGGCAGGTTGCTGTGCAGCCTCGCTGGTTTTGGAGAGCATCACAGGGAAGGAGCGATTCAGCTGGTTGTGTGGCCATTCTGGGTCTGAGCCGGCTTGGCTGAACAACCTCTCCTGTAAACGTGTTGCTGTGGGCTCAGCGCTGTGCTGTGGCCCTGCGGGCTCACGTACAAGGTGTAGCGCAGACCCCTATGGCACAGCACAAGACCAGAGAACAGTGAGGACGCTGGGGTGCCTGCCCAGCCCCTCCACGGCGGCCGCTCCCTGCGTCCTGCCATGGCTGACTGTGGAGCGCAGCCTGGCTGGCTGGGCCTGAGGGCAGCATTTGGCACAGTCGTAGCACTGGCATGAGCCAGGATGAACATCCAGCGTATGTGTCCTCTCCCCTGAAGGTGCTTGGAGCCTTGCTCTGCAGAGGGGCTCCTGGCCTCTTGCGCAGCTGGAGCACAAATGCCCCAGGTGGAAGAACAGGCGCTCCCTGCTCAGCAGGAGCAGCTGCGCTAGCAGTCTTGCCCTGGGTGAGCTGCTGCTGGCACGAGAGCTAGTGCTGGAGAAGTGCGCTTGGCTGCGTTGCAGGAGAGATGACTGCACTGGAGAAGCTGCCAGGTCAGGTGCATCTGGACATGCCCCAAGGGGCCCAGCCCTGCTTCCTGGAGGCGGCTGTAACTTGTAGTTTGCAGCTCCCCTCGGGAGATGGACACCCAGTGCCGCTGGTGCGGACGTTTCAACCCTGGGACACATGGATGTGCTGACCAGCAGTGTGTTGCGCAGCTCGGGGATCTGAGAGTCCTGGGGTAGGCGGCTCCCGGGCTCCCTCTGTGCTTGTTAAACTGCCTCCTGCTGCAGCTGTGGCTGAAACAGCCTAATTGTCGCTCCCCAGACTCCAGGTAAGCACAGTAACAGCACTTGTTGGAGCGTATGGCATGCTTTGAAGCTGCTCTGCCCCTCTCACCAGAGCTGAGCTGGGCTGGTGAGGTTCCCTGCACTTCTGCAGCTGCTGGGCTTGGGGGTCAGAACCTCTCCACGCGTCACTGGACAGGATCTGTGGCCAGGAGTGAGTGTTACTGGTGCCAGGAGCTGGCAACCATGGAGGAACTATCCCTCCGCAGCTCCCAAATTCCAAAAAAGAGAGAGACTATGTGCCTGGACACCACAGGAAGATGTTAAATTCTCTGCAAAATGGCTCCAGGAAGTACCAAAGGATTTGTTTATTTACATGTTACATGATTTCTCGATTGAGTGCCTGTTGAAAAGACCTGGATTACAGTTTTCACAGATGCTATTTGTGGGTGTTGTTACTGGCCAGGCACTTTTTCCTTCCTGGAAAGCATGTTCTGCCACCACAGGGACCAAAAATGAAGTGCTGAACACAAACAGGGATTTTTCTGGTGCCTACTGGAGTCTGCAATAAGGCTGTAGGATTTCCTAGGAGAAAGGTCTCTTCCAAAAAGCCACAACAGGAAAAGTCTTTTCTGTAGCATGTTCTGATTTTGTTTCTGTCACCTTGTCTCCCTGTTCCCCCTCTACCCCGAGCTGTGCGCCTGGCAGACACCAGGAGCATGTGCTGCTGCGACCGCAGCAATGAGCGCTGGAGTGGGACTGTCCCCTCTTCCCAACTGGCTCTGACTGTGCCTCTCTCTTCCAGGTCCTACCAGGGTGAGGTCGCCGGTGGCTGAAGATGGCAGGCTGTGGACGCCTCATCCTCCCCATTCGAGGTAACAGTGGCTCCGCTCCAGGAGGGAAAGCTGGGGTCTCCCTGCTGGGGGTAAGGACTCCCTTGTACTGTGCCAGAGGCCTCTCTGGAGGCGAGGGGGCATTGTGGGTCAGCCGGGGCCTTGGGCAGCCCTTCTCTGCTGCTGCCTCTGTGGCAGGGCTGGTTCCTTGTGGCCAGCACAGGGTCCCTGATCTCGAGCGTGTCTGTGGGGCTGTCTGCTGCCTTCCCTGCGGGGAATGAGTCATGGCCTTGCTCCAGAGATGCTGGTGGGGCAGGCTTTGGCGTTTCATGCTGAGCCGACCTAGCTGCTGAGGAGGCTCTTCAGGCTCTGAGTAAAGCAGGCAGCGGATGTGGTGGTCTTGGTCATCTCTCCTCTGTTCCAGGCCTGCTGCTCTACGCCTTGGCTCTGCGCTTCTGCACCCAGCACCCTCTTGTCATAGCAGGTGAGCTCCATACCCTGAGGAAAATCTGGGGCTCCTGTGGGGAATGGCAAAGCCAACTGGTGCAATTGGGACTTTGTCCCTGTCCCCTCCAGGTTGCTTTCTGTGGGATGGAGCTGCACTGGGGAACCTTTTTGCATGGTTTTGACCGCAGAAAAGTCTGTTCTTCGCGTGCAACATGGCTGGAAGGGAAAGGGAGAAGCTGCTGTAAAATCTGTCTATAGCACCATTGCAGTGATTGTCTGGGCTGTTGCCTCTGCCCTGCTTGTTGGGCTCCCTGTTTGCCAGCTGTAAAGGGTCTTAAGAGAACCCTTGTTACTTGTTTGGGACATCCTGTCACCTAATGCCATCCATATTCCAACCACAATATGGCTGATACTTCCTGCAAATCCCTTTGGACTGTGCAATGGCTCAGGAGGGTATGCAGGGCTTGCTGAGTGTGAGGTTGGTGTTTCCTTCACCATGGGGGTATTTTGGATCTTTCAGAGTCCGGTGATACCTCCAACTCCTCTGTGGCCTCCAACTCCTCTGTGGCCCCTGACTCCTGGATGAATGAGACGGAACAAACACTGGTAAGGAAGAGGGCTGTTGCTCAGGCTGTTACAACCCCACAGAGAGGATCTCTAGCCTGCGTGGTCTCTTGTGGCAGTTGGAGTCCCGTGGGAGCAGCTCCCTCGGGTGGAAGGGGAGCACCTGGGGCATGGTGGGTGGGGGGAGGCAGCCCCTCGGACGGCGAAGCTGTGGTCGGGGCGAGCATGATGGCAGTGCTGCCCAGCACAAGCATGCCGCACGAGCGTGGTTCTCTGCATGGGACTTCCCAGCCTGCTCTCTGTGCAGCTCACCTGCCAGAGCTTTCACTGCTCCGGGGAGAGGTGTTACCAGGACGAAGCCTACGCCAATGAAACGATGACCTGCCGCAACGACTCTTACTGTGAGGTATGAAGCTTGCCTAGTCGGAGGACGGGCAGGGGGAAAGTCATGACAGTGCAAGTCTGTTTCTCCTTCTTTATAGCAGAAATTCCCTGTAGTTTATTAAGTCTGTGTCAATCTCCTGTTTCCCTTCTATCTCTTCATTGCTGTCTGGCAGCTATTTTTGCTCCTTCATCATGGCATCTCTTCAGGCTTTTCCTAGCATTTTTTTTCTTTGGCTCTGCTGTTGCAGCTCTACCGTTTCTCCAGCACAAACTACACAGCCGGGTGCAGCAATGAGTGCAGCGCAGAGAATTGCAGGACCAACAGCAGCGTGAGCATGCAGCAGTGTGCCTTGGACTGCTGCGACTCACCCCTCTGCCTTCAGCTCAATGCCAGCTCCTACGGTAACTCCTCACAGGGCCCCGAGGCCAGCAGCTGTCTGAGGCTGAGGGTCTGCGATTAATCCTGCTGCACATGCAGGAGATGGGGTGACGCCTCACTGCAGAGGCCTGGCTGCATCCCTGGGTTTCCCTGTGCCCTGGGGATTGTACACTTTGAAGCACGTGGGGGAGAACAGAGCTAGAGGGACAGGGTGGCTTAGCAGCTCCCACAGCAGGAAGCTGTGGAGGGTTGCTTTGCGCGTCTGCCGTTCCCCAGCCTTGGCTGATGTGTAGAGCGGGTGCTGGCCCGCCAGGCGCTGTCTCAACTTGGGCTGCAGGCCTGGCTCCACAGCCCTTGCGCAGCACCGATGTAGCCCCAGTTTAGGCAAAGCTGGGCTGTCCTTCAGCACAGTGTGACCCTCTCAGATGAATTTGTCCCCAGAGCGATAGCTGTATGGGCATGTGGCCGTGGAGGGCTCTGCGTGCGGGCTGTCCCCTGAGTGCTGCTTTACAGGGCTCCTCGTATGTCTGCTGCAGGTGACCTGCCACCCACCACTACGCCAGCTATGACAACCACCACCACCACCACCACTGCTCGAGCCCCCGCCCGAAATGTAGGTATTGGCTGGATGTGGGGTGCTCTGGCCGCAGGCTCTCCTAGTGGGCTGATGAGGCCGTGGCCAATGGGCTGCTGTGCTCCTGTCTGAGAGGGGCTGGGCTTCCCTGGGAGATGGGAAGGGTCCATAGCAAGCCCTGTCAGACAAGCTCCTTTCTAAGCCAGCACTTCTCAGTTCAAGCAGATTAAACTGATTGTGCGGTGAACCTTTCTCAAAGCTGCAGAGAGGTTGCAGGGGGTTGATGAGGCATTGAAGCCTTTTTCCTGAGTCTCAGAGTTGGTAGAGAGGAAGGCGCTTATCTTTGCGAAGCCTTATTAAGAGGAAGGAAAGGAGGCTTGAAACTTGTCATCTGTGGTGGTGTTACAGTAGAGTTTCCTGCAGAATTTCAGATGGGGAGCTGTTAGTCTTTGATTAGTGTATCTAAAATGCCCGAGACAACACTTGTCAAATACTAAAAGACAGAGATGCCCACAAAGAGGGGCGTTCCTGGCATTGCCCTGATTCACGAAGGGGGGTTTGGGAAGGGCCTCTCAGGAAGGAAAGGCCATCTGAAATTCAGTTTTGCCCTGGAAGTCCTGCTCTCTGGACTAGTGAATATAAAGTATCTCCTCTGGTCCTCCCTTGTAGGGGAAACTGTGTGCAACGTTCTCCTGTCACGGGGACGGATGTTTCAAAGGCAAGAAGACTGTTGCTGGATGCACTGTTGGGCATGACTTCTGTGAGGTATGGTCTTGGGTTTAGAAAGCAAGACAGTCCCTGAGCTGGAATCTGTGTGCGTCCCCATAATGTGAATGCTAGAGGCTGGGCAGTGGCCTAGCAGGCTAACGCCTCTCTCCTCCTTCCAGATGAAGAAGATGGGTTTGGATTATGTGGCGGGATGTAGCAAAGCCTGCAAAGCGGCCAAACCAGTCTGTGCCAGTGGAACGAAGGCAGCTTGTTACCAGGAGTGCTGCCCAGCTACCCCAAAAGCTAGCTGTCTGAAACTGGATGGCAAAGTTCACGTCAATGGTGCTGAGCAGGTGACTCTGGCCCCGCTCTTGAGGCTCATGGCATGTGGGATGGTCTTTCTCCTGAATTACAGGGTCTCTGCTTCCCTCTGGGAGTAAGCAGCAGTCCCGGTGCTCCACAGCCTGCCCTTGAGCTCAGCAGTACTTGTTAGGATTCCTGTAGCTCTCTGACTTCAGCCAAGGTTGCTATCAAATGCCCTCTTTTAGATCAGCGTCCCAGGAAGAAGGTGACGCAGAGCCACAGGTGGTCTCTCCTCCCCCTGTGCAGTGCGTCAATGCCGTGGGGCCTCCCCAGGCCTCTGTGAAAACACCGATGCGGTGGCTGCAGTTTGCTGGCTGGCTCCAGTCTGTACTCATGTTGTCCTGTGCAGCGCAGGGAAAGGCAGAACCGGGGAACTCACCGCCCTGGAGAGTACCTGATGGGATGAATTTCAGAGCACACAGCAAATTAAGGTTTCTCTTGCACTCTGCTTCCAGAAGAGGCTTCAGGCACATGCTCAGACTGTTTGTGTGTAGGGACTCCTCCTGCTTTTGAGCTGCTCAGTGACTGGTAGGTCCTGACCATGGGAGGATGTGGGGCTCCAGGACAGCGTGGAGAGCCAGTGCTCTGCTTCATACCTCTAGGGGATTGCAAAAACGACACTGGCTGCCTGCCTAAGCTCCTGCAGAGTGGGGGAGAACCGAGCAGCTGTCCTGTGGGATGATCCCCTCTGCGGGATGACTGTCTCTTTCCACTGTTAAAGAGGCCTTTTCACTCTGCTCAGTCCCAGTTCAAGCCTCCTCTGGGTTACAGGAGGAGAGGACAAATTTCAGGTGCCCTGGGGCCTTGTGACTAACTGCCTCACTCATGCTTCTTTGTCAGCAGCATTTGCACACAAGCCAATACTGTGCACAAGAGACATTGAAGGACGTGCTGGAAGCCAGGTCTCTTCCTGTGCCCCTGTGCCTGTGTGGGAATGTAGGCAGAAAAGACCTGTTATTAGCAAGCTTAAGCAGAAGTAGTTTTCCCCTTGTCTTTCAATAGTAGCTGATGCAGCTGCCCTAAGGGCTGAGGCCCTGCATGGTGCAAGTGACAGGATATAGGTTACTGGCTGGCCTGAACTGTTGCTGAAGCTATTCCTGAAGCACACGCTAGGAAATCCTCTTTCCCCTGGGTTTGTTCACGCAGCACGGTAACATACCTCTGCCACCCTCGCACAGCTAGCAAGGGCCACCACTGCTGCTTCTCTGGCTGGCCCTTGGTGAGAGAACTGAGGTGAGCTCTCCTCTGCGGTGGGGACAGGCTGAGAGCTGCTGGCTCAGCCGGTCTACTTGTCAACTTTGAGTTCAGTACACTTGGCTCAGTAGTTGCCCTGCACAGGACTCTGATGCTGATCCCAAATCCCTCCTACCGTCCCTGAGCCCCGCTCAAACTCCCGCACCTTCCTGGGACTGGAGTCCTGGCTCCTGTTTGGTATTTTACGTTTCTGTGAACTTTAAACGCTCCTAATTGAGATTCTCCGAGTGCGCTCAGAGGAAAGGCACTTAATCTATGCATTAAGGAAGCTACAACAAGGCATTCTTCCCTGCCAGAAACCTGTAGGCCTCTGTGACTTGCAAGTTAATTACAGCTTCCGAGAGCTGCTGCAACGTGCCTGCGCTGCTGGGACTGCAGATGCTGGCATGACTGACCTCAGGTGTAGGAACAAGGGGATGTTAAGCCTGTTTAAAAACCTGAAAAATCTGCCTTGACTGAAGACAGAGGGTTTGCTCTAGTTAATAATCGGCTTGCAGTGCAGCCTTCTGGGCATCCACTTACCAATTAGTTTAAAACTGCTCTGGTATTAAAATACCTCCTGTCTGGACAGGTAAAATTAATAACACCATGTTTCCTCTCCAAATCTTAGAGAGGAAAATGGGATTTCTCTGAAGTGTCACATGTTTTAGATGATCCTGTTTCATATCTATAATTCTCTACTCCTAAAGGTAGACCAGGGACATGGGAATTAGCTTGTAACTGTAAACAAACCAACCCCCTGCCCCCAGCCCACTCCAGTCTGCCTGTTATTGCATCGCATGCAGCTGGTATGTCGCTTGTGACGCACGACATTACCAGGCCGAATTTACCGATCGTGCACACGCGCACTCTGCTGTCCTCTGCCGCTATTTTCTCTTCCAAAGAAAAGATTGTGAAAAAATCGAAGTATAAATAAAATGTTTCAGACCTGCTGGCCAGTGACTGGGGCTGTTTTATGTGTGGCTGAACGCTACGTGACTTGGGGTAGGGGAGGGAGACCCCAAATGTGTTGGCTTTACGGTGGAGGCAGAGAGCTGGCTGGCCGTGGGGCACTTCATGTGCTTTCACCAGCAGAAAGCATTTGCTTGAAAAGCCCTTAAAGGGTGCTGCACTCGGAGGAGCCCTCTTGCAGCGGATGTGGGACTTGATTGGAAAAAAAAAAGCTCACTGAAACACATAACCAGCCCCTTCCACGTTGCAGGCGACCTCCCATCTGCTGCACTGTGCCGCGACCTCGATCAGCCTCCAATCTGGAGTGTCTAAACCACAGCACAAAGTTTCACATGTGTTTGTAACTTTTTTAGGCCACAAGTATCAATATATCAATAGCAAGTGAAATCGGGGTGAAACCCAGGTTTTTTTTCTGTTTCAAACATACCATATAGCACCACGTCGCTCACACTGAATAGGGGTTCGCAGTTGATGGGAAACGTTACAAAATGTTCTCCTTTCATTTCTGCTTTGCGTTCTCTCCTCCGTTCTGCTCTGCTCTTCGGGGGGTGGAGGGGGGGAGCGGAAAGCCAGACAGCAGAGTGGTTACTTTAAAAAAGGCTGGTACTTTTTTTTGTATAATCGCTAGATCTTGGCTGTCACTCCTACAGGTGTTGAAATAATTGATTTTAGGCCAAACTCTCCTATCTTCAGTATGCCAAAGACGTGGTCTGGTTATGTTTTCTAGCACCTGTTTGCAGACTTTACTGTAATTAATTTGCATAATAAAACAGTAGCTCCAAGGTTTGCTTACACCAGCTGGGTCTTCCTGAATTTGAACAAAAACCAATTCAAGGTGCTACTGAAGAAGAGCACCTCCTGATTTAGCTAGGAAATAAGCCTTGTCGGCCTTCTGCTAAACCAGCACCTTTCTCCCGCCGCGTGCCCCTCGCCTGCAGGAGCGAGCGCTGCAGGACGCTCCGGGCTGCCTGGGACCCGGCTGCTCCCCTCCCCGGCCCCGCGGCTCCCCGGCCCTGCGGCCTGGCGGGCGCTTGGTACCTTCCATCAGTCCTGCTGCTTTCCTGGCCTCTCTTTTTTCCTTTTATTTTTGCACCCAATAAGATAGGTGTGCAGAGTCCAGTCAGTTGCGAAAATCTTGTCCAAATGCATTGATTGGAGCAGGAAATCGCGCTCAGCAGCTTTCCCACTGCTTTGCGAGTGTCTGACAAGCAAACAAAAATGTTTTGGAAACGTTTTCTTCCTTCCTAAGTGGGAAAATGTCAGGTAATTTCGAAGAAAAGCATGGTTCGCTCTTTGGCGATCCCGCGTCTCGCGGCGGTGGCTCTCCGCGGCCAGACGCCCCAGGGCCCGGCGGGGGCGCGGGGCAGAGGGGCGAAGCCGCCCGGTGCTGGCCCCCGGCCCCCTCGCCCCATCGGGTGG